ACAATATAAAACAAGCCGCCCTGGCCAAATAAAATTCAATAATATTAACATTTAAAATACTGCTTAAATAAAAAGGTCTTCGCCTGGCGCCGAAAAACAAATAACGACGGTGCCAGGCGGACCTCTCTGGGGAGCGCATTCCATAACTTAGGCGCCACCGCTGAGAAAGCCCTCTTCCGAGTAACCACCCTCCTAACTTCTTCCACGGAGGGTTCCCGGAGAAGGGCCTCTCCCGCCGATCTCAGGGGGCGGCTGGGCATATAAGGATGTAAGCGCTCCTTCAGGTAACCAGGTTAGGAATGGCTGGAGTTGTAGTCCAAAGCATCTGAAGGAAACCAGGATGGGAAAGGCTGGCCTACACTCAAAGGACAGAGCTGTTATACACACCTTCTGTAATACTTTATTTTGCAGGCTTTTCGATGTAGATGAACATCATATTCCGTTGTCCGTAAACTTTACCCACTGAAAGACCAAATGAGTCAGGCATTCAGCAATAATGCCAGCAGACTTGCAGTTACTACAAACAAAAAACACAGAACAAGAAGTATTTTTAACATTCAAACAGCTAAAACTATTTGCAAAGAAAAGACGGGGGGAATTATTTTGTGTTTTGGAAAAATATGAAGTTTCTAGATTAGACTTTCATGGACTAGGAACTACCAAAACATGCCATGTGACCCTGGAGGCTTGGAACCTCCCATTTTGCTCAGAAATAAAGCATGTCAATGTAAGATAATTCCCCAGACTTTCAACATTTTTAATCATCATGGCTTATTCCTTTATTGGATAAATATACTGCTGGATGCATTTAACAATATCTTCAAGAGGACAGACTTCTCCAAACTGCTACCTTCCAGATGAGTTTGATTACAATCCATTATCCCCATTCAGGGAATTCTGGTTTAGAAAGACAAATCAGAAATCATATGCAGTCACACTTCATACAGGCCAACTGGCAGAGCATTTCTGCCATTTTCTCTGAAGTGGCAAAGTATCTCTTATTATAAGCATAAACAAAACTGGGGAGACTTCCTCATGGTTAAGCCAATGTAGAGAAGGAATTGCAGGCTTCATCAAGTGATTAAGCAATGTGACTTGCTATTGATCAATGGGAGGTGAGGGTGGGAAGGGAACAGGAGAATGACATTGTTGTGGCAGGTATTCGTAATTCTTCAGCTTTTTGCTTCTTGTTTCTAGATTATAATTAGGCGCAATCCCATACAACTTCAGACAATAATCCTCTTCCCTCTCCAGACCATATCTTCATCTCTTAACGCTTCTAGCCAAGCCAATCCCAAAGGTTTTCTTATTTACATTAGGCATTTTAGCTGCAATTCCATACATGCATTTCTCAGCTTTCTCCCATTTTCAGAACTTAAAAAGAGCTCCCTGGTCTGGATGTCATGTCAGACAATCACGATAAGCAGAAACCATACAATATTGTTCCTTGTCTGTTTCTGGGCCCAAAACAAGCCATGGTGATATACCAAAACTGGGTCTGGACAACATGACAAGCCCACATTTTTTTTTTAAAAAGATTGCTGTTAGCATGCAAACCCAGTGACTCATTTAAGGCAACAAGAAATTTAACCTCTTTGTTGTGACTGGAGCATGCATTGATCCATTGTTGTGGTGCTAGCTGAAGTGAAACGTTATTACAACTTTCCTTTTTTGAAATCCTTACTAATTCCATTTCAGCTGAGTTGCCATTGGAAGCAATCACCCACCCTCTGGGGAATCCTCCTTAATTTTGCATGTCCCTGAGGTGGCAGCAGTCTCAAGGGGGCACTTGGGGGGCATGGGCTCCCCTCAAAGTCCCAGAGATCTTGCTATGAAAGGAGGGGGGTTCAGTCCCCCATTCACAAACATTGATCTTCATGGGCTTTTCAATCAGTCAATCCAATCACTCTGAGAGGTGTGGCATGCTTTGAAAGGAAAGGGGATAATCTGCCCACCTGCACCCTTAGAGGGGAAATGGCCAGGGTGGGTGCCTGCTGGACTTTCCCAGTAAGCACCCTCCTGCCCAGTGGCCACCCCAGGGTCCCCACTGCCACCCACAGTTGCACACAGATGGCAACAAATACCAACAAAACACTGTTTAGCCACCTGATCAGCCCCTCCAAGCTACTCCAGTGCACCCTGGAGGGACTATCCAGGAATGGCCAAACTGGACTTATGAAAGCTGGCTTTTGCAATCTCAAAAAAGGAAAGAAGGAAAAAATCTAGCCTCAGTGAGCCAAAAATGGCTCTTGCCAATGGCAGGGAGGGAGAGACACTTCCTCTTTTAGAAGGCCTGAAGGGAAAGGCACTTCTGTGCCACAATGTAAGTTGCAGTGTTGCGGGAACCACCCAAAGCTTGCAATTCATCGGTAATTTGTTAACACTTCCTATGTTTTACAAGCTGACCCTATAGAATAAAAAATTACCACTGCTGCACTGGCCATATCTGATTCCCCTCTAATGACATGGTTCTAACTTTCAGCTCTATTCACGGAGCTAGAAGAGTTCAGATTCAAGCCAATAACTGCAACAGGGCAAACATGTTAAGCAACCAAGCAAGCATATGGTGGTGCATTCACACTACCAATCAGAGCTTATCATATTTTGCAGCACTGTGGATCTCACGGAAAACATACCAGCAGTGGAAGAGCTGCAGCTCATGGGAATCCGTGGTATGCAAACAGTTTAGCTGCAGTCGCACAAATGAGGAGGAGCATATTTAATAAACTGTCTTTTATCTCTATAGCGATGTTGTAAAACTACCATCTGAAATGGGGAAATCCTTGACTCAGCTCATGCAGAAGGAATCTTATGAGCTTCTCTGAACAGTCATGAAGCATGAAATTTCCTTATTTCTGAAACTTTACCTCATCCTTCTTTTCATAATTACCTTAACATAATTCCAATTGCTCTGGGTGAGTAACTCCCGAAGCACGGTGAGTTAGGGAGCCACAGCTAATCACTACTATGCCACTGCTGTACCTGTATAGCAACATGTGTTTTTCATACAGGTGTGCACATTGGAGGTGTCCTAAAAAGGGCATTGGGTGTCCTCTGCTAACTTGTTTGCAGAACTTGTGAGTTCCCACCTCGCAACCTTTAACACTTACTGCTCCCAGAACATTCACTCACTTGTGGGACAAGCCCAAAATGCCACGCTCTACACCCAGAATCATTACACTACCATTCACCCACTCAGCTGGGAGGAACCTACTCACTGGGATTTTCTTCTGCATAAACATGGGTAAGTGTGCCCCGTAAATCTCAACTTTCAAATGAGACAAACAAATTCCTTTTATTGTTCACACTGAAGGCATTAGATGGTCTGATAATGTGGTAAGACAACAGGGAAAAGGAAAGAAATAGAAAATTGTACCAGCTTTGAGGATTAATTAATTATTTTACATTTAGGAAGGACCATTTTGCATGCATTCTTGCAGTTGTACTGCTCAGTAGCTGCTACAATCCTCTTTCATAGGCTCCAGGAATTGCCTGTTGGCATGTGCCTGCTTTCCACTTAGTCAGAAATGGAGGAAATAAAAAACCATACAGCCATTTGGAAATGTCAAAGCAGGATTCTGTTTGTTTTGAAAAGCAGTTGATTCAGGGCTGCAAGCCAAGGCAAAGTTGCCGTCGGCTCCTCTAGGCCTCTATCAGGGAGCACAAGGCTTTCTGAAAGAGCCACTAGGATCACCACTACACTGGAGCCCCTCCATCGGATTGCTGGGAGTTGTGCCATGCCAGCCTTCCCCAACTGATGGGTCTCCAAAGCAGCCCACAAAAATAATATTGACTTAGCAAAAACAAACTTTGACATACAAATACTAGGAGGAATTTGAGCTTGGGTAGGAGTGCCTGGAAATTCCCATTCTCAGTTGCTCCAATATTTTAAATTGGAATGGGAGAGAAAAACTAGTTAGAACCACTCAAATGCAGAATACAGCAATGACTCACTTAGGGCAGCTTTCCCCAGCTGGACTCTATCCTAATTTGTTGCACTATAACTCCCATAATCCTAAGTCACCATGGATGGACATGCTGGCTGAGGACGATGGGGGTAGCAGTCCACCAGATCTGCAGGGTGCTAGGCTGGAGAAGGCTTAGTAGCACATGCAGAGAAGTCAAATAACAGTAAACAAGCTTGTTGAGTGCTCCTCCTAAGTATTTTCAGTACAGGCAGAATATCCTAAAGAAAACTGGAACCTTAAATGAGTTGCTGGGGGTGGGATGAGGAGGTTACATTAGAAATTAGTGCTACTGAACTGTGAATGCTAAAACTTGAGCAGTGGTGCACCACAAAGCCAAAGTGGCAGGAGAACTGCTGACATTTAATGAGTGACTTTTTGTTTCCCATCACAAGCTCTTTACAATGGTTTAATTATTCCAGCCTAAAAGCAGCCCCGTTGCATGGAAATGTTTGAAGGTAAATTTTAAGGTGGAAATATTGCACCCTAGAAAAGCCGAGAACAACTAATGTTCCTCAACCATACTCCCTCTGTCTGCAGAGAATGCAAATGCATCCTCCAACATAAAACTCAAACCCACATGCTTCCAGTGCTCATAGAATTTAGGTCTTATCCATTGGTTTTGAATGATTGCAATCCATTTTTCAATGTAATGTACACAATATGCAAAATGTGTCACTTGGCACTTTGTTCTGAACAGATTTGCATCCCTCACCAGCTGCTGCTGCTGTTGCAACCTAGCCAATCAAATGGCACAAAAAGATTTCTCTTATTGTGAAGTGTCTGATGGCTGAATAATATGAGCACTCTGGAAGATGGAGGTTACCCATATTAACTAGGGGCTGTAAACCACAGGCTGTACTTAGCATTCATCTAAGGTACCATTAATTTCAGTAAGTGCAAGTAGCTTTAACACTGGATACATCCCAATGATTTCCTGAGCTCCTCTAGATACCAAATACACCACACTCATTCTAATCAAAGTTTAAGAGATCTCCCTCAAAAATATGCACACTTTTATCTCTGAAACTCACATCATACAAAGGTGTCAGGTATGGCTAAGAGCCCACAATACATGAACTGGAGAATTCAGATATTCTGCAGGGGTGCTTGAAATTCTAGAAATTTGAGCTGCAGAATAATGGGCATCCACATTGCCAAAGAACACACCCTTCCATCAGATGGAAACTTGCACAAAAATCCTTCTCTAGGTCATAGTCTCCAAGAAAGTGCAGAAAGAGAGGAACTTCTACCTGCAGTCTGTCTCGAGCCATGTTACCTTTCAAGCACTTGGATGCCCCACAATCTGTTTCACACAACACTCTCTTGCAAGAAGGGAAGCACCGTGATCCCTACACTACAGATTCAAATAAAATCTAGAGCAATTCAAGGCTGTTCCACACAAACAGAAGCTCAGGTGGCCAATACTTGGATGCTTAACATGAATTAGAGTGCACTAGTTCAGTGTGTGGCTCAATATGATAGTTCTGCAGTGCATGGGAAGGGAAGCAGCTGACCTCCACAACACACACACACACACCCTCACACTGAA